ATGAAACCCTAACTCAAATCTATCCAAACGAAAATGAATATCCATGAAGACAAATCCACCAAAGGAAAACCCAGATCAAGTCGTACCCATGAAACCCTAACTCAAATTTTTCGAAGAGAAAATGAATATCCATGAACAAAGTATAAATAAGACAGTTACCTTAGTCCAAATCCCGCCGATTCGTCTGCAAAGTCGCCGCCGTCAACACAAGCGTCGCCGCCGAAATCCCGCCCTTTCTTTCCGCCGAAATCCCACTTTTAACTCGCCGCCGCTTCGCTCGCCGCCAGGAACTCGCGGCCGTCCGTCACGCCGCCGCTTCGCTCGCCGCGCAGGAACTCGCCGCCGCTTTGCTGGTCCCTCGCCGCCGCTTGCTTGTCGCCGTTTTCGTGAGATTCGCTGCCACTTCGCTCGCCGCCGCTTCGCTCGCCGCGCAGGAACTCGCCGCCGTCCGTCACGCCGCCGCTTTGCTCGCCGCGCAGGAACTCGCCGCCGCTTTGCTGGTCCCTCGCCGCCGCTTGCTTGTCGTCGTTTTCGTGAGAGGAGGAAAGTGAGAGAGAGGGGAAGTCGAAGTGGGGGAGAGAGGGGAACTGAATTGACTGAATTGGGGGAGAGAGGGGGAACAGTGGGCTTGGTTTTTGAATTGTGGGCCCGGTGGGCTTGGTCAGCTGATAGACCGTTATTTACACATGTTTTTACCCCTGCTCTTACTCCGTTTGAGGTATTGATTCTCGTGTTTTAGGCCGATTTCACGCTAGGTTGTGCTTGTTTATGATATTTCAGGTCCTAGTACGTGAATGGAGGCTTGGGAGGGAGTTTGAGGTCGATTGGACAAGGATCGGACGCATTGCGAGGTTCTGAGGAAGTCGCGTGGGCACGCACGGGATTGTACGTGGGCACGCACGGGATTGTGCGTGGCCACGCACGGCCGTGCAACATATAATCCTGGCCGTGCGGGATTGTGCGTGGGCACGCACGGGATTGTGCGTGGCCACGCACGGCCGTGCACCTGGCCGTGCAAGAAGCCTGAGGGTCGAATTAAGTGAAACGGCGCGTTTCAGGGTGCACGGCCAGAATGGTGATGTGCACGGCCGTGCACCTGGCCGTGCAACTCGGGAAAGCCGGTTTTAAAGCCTAATCCGAGCCAGAAGTGGGAGAATCGTGTTTTCAGAGCAAAAACAGAGCCCTAGAGAGAGAAAGTGCAAAGAACACACCCTAGAAGCTGTCTTAGAGCTGGATTTCATCGAATCGAGCCTGGAGATCGTCATAGGAGTGGAAATCATCGTCCCGGAGCAGATTATCCTCATCGTTATGAATATGACTAATCCGATTCTTGTTTTCTCTTCTCTCTCTATGGAGTAGAACCCTTCTCTCACATGGGTATGAAGAACCCTAGTTCCTCGTGTTAGGGATTTGATTGTAATGACTTGGGATGATATTATTGTTTGATTTTAATCGAATGACGCATGTTTATTGAATTGATTTGAGTCTGATAAGCTTTTCTCAATTTCTGCTTCAACCTGAGATAGATAGAATCTGATTCGGTTGTTAGAGCCTCTTCATTCGATAGTAGGAGAGTGGCTATACGAGAGTTAGCCAGTTGACTGCTTTGTACTGGTGTTCTTGGCGCCAGTAGTGGAGTTCTGTGTTCATAGCCTCAGCTTTCTATCCCGGTGAAGACTAGTCGTCTGCCGGGTAGTTAGACTGAGAGGGCTTGGTCAGCTTAAGAGATGCCAAGCTTCTGTCGGATCTTCCGCAGTCTAATCAACAGTAAATCAACCGAGGGAATTGCAATTGAACCTAACTAAGGGGCTAGGGGGACTCAATCCCGAGTGACTCTTACCTGCTTTAGAAACCGAACAAATTACTGCTTTCTTACTGCTTTTGCTTTTAAACAAAAATCACTCGAACTAGTTTGCTAGATAATAGAGAATCACGGAGTAAGCAGTAGATCTAGACCCCGGGTTGATAATTAAACTTGCCTGTTACTGCATTCCCGGACTGCGATTACACTTGGTCGCTGTTTGGTGTTGTGTTTTGGCGTGTCAAGTTTTTGGCGCCGTTGCCGGGGACCCCTCTAGATTATTGGGGAAATGTGAGAATTTGTTACTCTAGCTTTTTATTTATTGCATTTTTTTTCTTTTCCACCCTTGCTTTTCACTTGGGTGTTATGTTTTTGTTGGTGCAGCTCTGAAACATGGATCCTCATGGCTTCTCCAACCATTGGGGGTATCAACCACCATCCGTGTGGTATTACCCCAAGACTTCCTGGAGCAATCAAGGAGGAGAAGACTATGGATTCGGATGTCAGTACCAACCCCCCCACTATGGAGAACAACCAAACCCTTGGGAACCTCAAGAACAATATCCTTTTCAAGAAGAGTTCCTGCCACAACCAGCAGAGCCATGCTACACTTCACTGGAAGATCCGAACAAACAATTAAGGCTTCTCGTGGAGCAGTTTACTCGAGACACTGAGAGAGCATGCTCCAAGATGGATCTTCAAATCCAAGCCCTTGACTCTTCCGATCCCTCATTGCTCCATGACATGGAGCAGACTGTTCAGTGGTCAGCGAAGCAAACAGAGTGGGTGAAGCAAATTTGCTCACATCCTGCTCAAGATCACCTTTCTGCTGCTACGCTAGAAGAGGCGGAGTATGACAAGGGCAGCGGGGGCGTTGAGGAGCCTATAGAAGTTATCACAGAGAACTCCCATAATGATCATGATCAGGAAATTCCTCTTGTGGCAGATCACACCGTTCTTCATTTATGCTCTAGCATGCTGGGCCTGTGCGAGGAGATGCAAGATGATCCCATTGAAGAAATTGCTTGGCGACTTGCTCTCCAATCTGTTCTAGAAGAAGAAGAGCGAGCAAGGATGAGGAAGAAAGTTGTGGAGGATGAGGAAGAAAGTAAAGAAGAGGTAGTTCTTGATCTTTTCCAAGGGGAGAGACCACATTTTGAAGAAGGAAGGGGGGTTGTGGAAGCAATTGGTGTCCAGGCTGAGGATGAAGTTGAGGTGGAAGAGGCTTGCACCGGGCCTATGTTACATTTGATCTCTCCACCAAACTTCGAGGAGCTGCTTGGCAAGGACCCATTTGCAGTGTCTCTTTGCCCAACTAAGACCACATCAACATCAATCCCTCTTGGTGGATACGATGGTGGTCAATCGAATATATCTTATATGGTTTGGGGCAATGAGACAAGAGCAGATGCGAAGGAGAGGTCTCGTGAGTGGAGACTTCATCTTCCTCAAGGTCACGAGCCGTCTTCATCACCTATCACTTCACTTGCTTGTGACTTGAGACTCCACATCATTGATGAGAACCTCAACTTTAAGGAGGTTTTGGAGTGGACCGAAACTTACGATTTGAGGGCTCCAAGTACTGCTGTTTGATCATATTGGCACTGTGTTTTGATGGATGAATTGATTGGTTTTCGGATTAATGCATGACAACTTGTTTGCGACTAGGACAACCTATGATGAGGACTGAGATGTGCAGTAGAACGATGTAGGGGTTCAGTTTTTCAACTGTTTGCTTGCCAACTGTGACTTGATCTGACTTGATCTGATTACTTGTTCTTGACAGTCGTTTATGCATCTAGTTCAGGGTATCAGAATGTGAGATAGAGCATATAGGTAGCCATGTGAGATTTGAGCCTGCTCGTTTCTTTCTTGTGCGATAGATCCCTCTTCCATGATGTGTAGCATTCACGTTGTCACTAGCTGAGATGATGGGGGCATAGGATTAGCCCACGCCCAAAACTGACTGTCCTGATGTGTCATATCCCCTAGTCAGCCCCTTTGAGCCGTGTGTTATCCTTTCTTTTGGTCTTTAATGAAAAAATGTCCTGATGTGTCATATCCCCTAGTCAGCCCCTTTGAGCCGTGTGTTATCCTTTCTTTTGGTCTATAATGAAAAAAACCACCCTTGTTGCATCTTTTAGAAGGTTCCACAGAGTGGTTTTTATATATTCTCTGCTGTTTCTGCTAAAGTCTATGTGAGTGTTGGAGGTAGTGCTTAAAAGTTGGACAGGTGTTTGAAATTTATGCAGAAGTGGTGGCTCTCTTAAGAAATGAAAAGAAAAATAAAAGAAAAACAAAGAAAAATTGAAAGCAAAAGAGAGCCACTACCAAAAATCTGAATAATGCCCAGTAAGCAGTGTTTCTTAGCAGTCTGGCTTGGAAATGCTGATGTTTATGCCTCCTTCGCTCTTGTGCTCGTAAGATATTGAGTAATGCAGGATAGCAGAAAGAAAGAAAATACCGGTTTGTTTGACTGTGATTGTGTGTTTGGAAAATGTGGAACCTTTTGCTATGAATACTTCCACCACCTAAAAGGCCTTTTCCCCATGTCCAAGACCCTAGCCAGTCATTTGAACCTGTGTCTAAGACCTCCTGATTAGTTAGTGGTGACACCCCATATGTGAACTCTAGCATTTAGAGGCTGCCATCATGGTGAAGAGATGATAGGTATTAAGAGAAATAGCATGCGCATCTTTCGCATCAAATTGTCCTGACCCCACTGGTCGAGAGTGAGTGATTCATTTTCATTTTCTATATGCTCTTGTACCCCGGTGAGGACCTAGATTGCTCGGTCTCTATTCTGATGTCTTGAGTTGGATGCATGAGTTGACTGTTTTGAGTAAGTGGTTGAATCAAGTCTAGGTTGGCCAGTGAACAGAAGGGAGACTCTTCCTTTACTCGATTTGCTGCGCTCGAATGTCCTTTGTGGTGGTTGTCCAGGTTTTTATTGAGGTTGTGCATGTATTGATGTTTGAAAACCAGTGCGATTCACGTGTTCTGTGCCTTTATGACTTGTCCCCAATGTTGGTTGATTGAAATATGTAAGCTTACCTGGTGTCTGACTTGGTTTGCTTGGGGACAAGCAAACGGTTAAGTGTGGGGGAGTTTGATAGACCGTTATTTACACATGTTTTTACCCCTGCTCTTACTCCGTTTGAGGTATTGATTCTCGTGTTTTAGGCCGATTTCACGCTAGGTTGTGCTTGTTTATGATATTTCAGGTCCTAGTACGTGAATGGAGGCTTGGGAGCGAGTTTGAGGTCGATTGGACAAGGATCGGACGCATGGCGAGGTTCTGAGGAAGTCGCGTGGGCACGCACGGGATTGTGCGTGGGCACGCACGGGATTGTGCGTGGCCACGCACGGCCGTGCAACATATAATCCTGGCCGTGCGGGATTGTGCGTGGACACGCACGGGATTGTGCGTGGCCACGCACAGCCGTGCACCTGGCCGTGCAAGAAGCCTGAGGGTCGAATTAAGTGAAACGACGCGTTTCAGGGTGCACGGCCAGAATGGTGATGTGCACGGCCGTGCACCTGGCCGTGCAACTCGGGAAAGCCGGTTTTAAAGCCTAATCCGAGCCACAAGTGGGAGAATCGTGTTTTCAGAGCAAAAACAGAGCCCTAGAGAGAGAAAGTGCGAAGAACACACCCTAGAAGCTGTCTTAGAGCTGGATTTTATCGAATCGAGCCTGGAGATCGTCATAGGAGTGGAAATCATCGTCCCGGAGCAGATTATCCTCATCGTTATGAGTATGACTAATCCGATTCTTGTTTTCTCTTCTCTCTCTATGGAGTAGAACCCTTCTCTCACTTGGGTATGAAGAACCCTAGTTCCTTGTGTTAGGGATTTGATTGTAATGACTTGGGATGATATTATTGTTTGATTTTAATCGAATGACGCATGTTTATTGAATTGATTTGAGTCTGATCAGCTTTTCTCAATTTCTGCTTCAACCTGAGATAGATAGAATCTGATTAGGTTGTTAGAGCCTCTTCATTCGATAGTAGGAGATTGGCTATACGAGAGTTAGCCAGTTGACTGCTTTGTACTGGTGTTCTTGGCGCCAGTAGTGGAGTTCTGTGTTCATAGCCTCAGCTTTCTATCCCGGTGAAGACTAGTCGTCTGCCGGGTAGTTAGACTGAGAGGGCTTGGTCAGCTTAAGAGATTCCAAGCTACTGTCGGATCTTCCGCAGTCTAATCAACAGTAAATCAACCCAGGGAATTGCAATTGAACCTAACTAAGGGGCTAGGGGGACTCAATCCCGAGTGACTCTTACCTGCTTTAGAAACCGAACAAATTACTGCTTTCTTACTGCTTTTGCTTTTAAACAACAATCACTCGAACTAGTTTGCTAGATAATAGAGAATCACGGAGTAAGCAGTAGATCTAGACCCCGGGTTGATAATTAAACTTGCCTGTTACTACATTCCCGGACTGCGATTACACTTGGTCGCAGTTTGGTGTTGTGTTTTGGCGTGTCATCAGCCATGGGCTCGACCAGCCGACCCAAACCGGCTAAACTTCCTCAACCAAAACCTGGCGCCATCTTACCCTCGCCCACGTGGACAATAGATCCACCGTGTGAGTATATACTCACAGCTTAAGCTGTGAGCAGCATAACTATATTGAGTATTACAACTTTATTGACTAACTCTAACACTTGCAAGGTTTGTAGGACATTGAACAACCCTCTATTAAAATATATTTTTTTATACTTCATTTTATTGTTTCCGTTGTTGGTTTTTCTGCTTGGCTAGGAAGTGAGAACTCTTCTTTGTTTGTTTTCTATGGGAAAGTGTCTTGCTGTAGATAGAAAGCCTAAGTGTCGCTTTGGATTAATCTTCATACAAAATATCCTCTATAAATTAATATAGTCGTGACTATGAAAATTATTAATTTATAAGAGTTATTAATTAATCGATAAATTAATAATTATTAATTCAAAGAGGTTTTTCTTATGATGTACGTTTATTGTGGCTGATGTCATTGGGTTCAATTGAGGATGAAGGAGATGAAGATTCAATACTTTTGAAACCGGTCACGCAAAAGAAAGCACTTAAAGCCGCATCGACTTTTCAAAAATACTTGATCCAATTAGAGAAGGCAACACTGGAGACTTTGAGTGCAATGAGAAAAGTTCAAGATGAACTTCTATTAAACTTGAACTTGAAGAATAAACAAACAACTATATATTCATATTTTTCTACAAATTATCCTAGCAATATTATAAATTTCTAAATAAATTGTATTTTAAAATTATTAATTTATAGAGTTAAAAATACATGTATTTATGTAGGTTAGTTCTAAAAAATTTATTATCTTATTAAATTTTCTCATTTTTACACAGGTCCAAGTCGGGACCGGAGAAATATTAATTTATACAAGGTTATTAATTTATCAATTATTAATTTAAAGTGGTTATAGTGCAATGACAAGAATTAAGTTACTCCTTAAACAAAATAGGAAACAAGGAACTGCGCGTGCTTGTTGGTTATTCAAAGAACAACGTTAGACGTAAAAACCGTTGGGCAATTTTTTGTTGTAGATACGTGATTGTATTTCATCCGCCAGCTTCTCTATCCTGATGAATGGTAAACCGACAGGATATATTCGTCCGTCTCGTGGAATTAGGCAAGGGGATCCCCTCTCGCCACTCCTTTTTGTTCTCTGTACGGAAGGTTTTTCGGCCTTATTAAAGAGGGAACTAGAGGCGGGCAGACTACATGGAATTAAGGTGGGTCGGCATTGCCCGGTTGTTTCTCACCTCTTCTTCGCCGACGACTCCTACCTTTTTCTTCGAGGATCAAGGGAGGAATGTCAAAGGGTTCTCACGGTATTAGAGGAATATGAAAAGATGAGTGGGCAGAAGATCAATCTATCTAAATCTGCTGTATGCTTCAGCAGAAATGTAGATGATGATCAAGCGGCTGAGCTTGGGCAATTACTTGGAGTGGGAGCGATAGGTGTGAAAGACCAGTACCTAGGACTGCCGTCCGTTATCCGAAAATCGAAGGTGGAGACTTTTCGTTACTTGGAAGAAAGGTTACTGAAACGTTTGAGTGGTTGGAAGAGTCGATGTTTATCGATGGCAGCAAAGGAGACGTTGATAAAAGCAGTGGTCTCAGCCCTCCCGGTACATGTCATGTCGTGTTTTAGATTGCCTAGTGGCTTATGCTATGCTATGAATCGTCATGTTGCTCGGTTTTGGTGGGGAGCAAAGGAAGGAGAGTCCAGAATTCATTGGGTTGCGTGGCGGTCCCTATGTCGCAGCAAAACTGAGGGGGGGATGGGTTTTCGAGACTTTGAATCCTTCAACCAGGCGTTGCTTGCTAAGATAGGATGGAGGATTTTGCAGGATCCAAACTCACTTCTTGCTAGGATATATAAGGGCCGGTATTTCAATTCAGGTACATTCTTGACAGCCAAGCTTGGATCTAGCCCGTCATGGGGGTGGAGAAGTGTTATTTTTGGTCGAGAACTGCTTGCTAGTGGCCTGAAATGGCAGATTGGATCGGGGGATAGGGTACAAGTAAGAGAGGCTAATTGGATCCCGGGCTTAGATCGGGTTACTGCTGGGGAGATAGTGAGCTCTATACAAGGGAATGCGAATGACCTTTATGTGGCTGATTTAATAGTTCCAGGGCGAGGGGTATGGGACATTGATCGGATCCAACAACTCTTCCCTACACATGTCGTCCCCATGATTTTGGCCATTCCGCTTCCATGTTGCCCTGTCCCGGATAAGCTTGTTTGGAGGCATTCGCCATGTGGTAAGTACACTGTTCGTACAGGTTATTTTCAAGCTTATGAGATGAAATGTATACAACCGAACAGGAAACATATCATATCTTTGTGGGATGCTAACCTGTGGAAACGAGTGTGGGAGATGAACTGCCCGCCAAAGCTTAAAATTTTTCTGTGGCAGATGGTTCGGGGGATTCTGCCGGTTGGAGAAACATTGCGAGATCGGGGCGTGAGCACTAGTGCATGGTGTTGGGGATGCTTGGGAGCTACTGAGAGCTTAGCTCACCTTTTCTTTGAATGCCCAGTAGCAAAGAGATTTTGGGATATGATTGGGTTGGGTAATGTGGTTGATGAATTCTTCTCTGGGAATGTTTGCATTTTTTGGCGCAGGCTGTTGGAAGCAAAACAGATTCCTGTAGAGCGAAAACTGGAGGTTTTGTGTGCATGTTGGAGGCTGTGGAAGTCTCGAAACATTGTTTGGTTTGAAGGCCATCAGGTCTGTTTGCAGGTATTGGGTAGGCAATGGCAGCATCAGGTGGGAGAGATTCAACAGTGTAACCAGCAGGTGGAGGAAGAGAATGAGCAGCCGCGCAGCAGGATAGTCGCCACAGGTGAGCGACGTCAAGGGGGAATCCCTCTGGCCTGTTTTGATGGCGCTACAAGAGAACAGTCTCATGGAGCAACAGGGGTGGTAATATTTGACGGACAAGGAGCTGTAATGGCAGCTGGAGGAAGATGTATTCCAGGTATGTTTGAGCCTTATCTTATTGAACTGATTGCTTTACGAGACCTATTGATATGGTGTCAGGGGATGGGAGTGCTGAACATTGATATCCAAGGGGATGCTCAAGGCATCATAATGAAGGTGAGAGCAGGGGAAATTTGGGACGTGAATGGCGGTGCAATATTCCAAGAGATTCCGCAGTTGTTGAGGAACATGCCGCAGTGCAATGTGATGTTTGTGCGACGAAGTTTGAATGGAGCTGCTCATAGTGTGGCAAGAAAAGCTCTATCTTTATACCCGGTTGGGTTTTCTTCTTTTGATTTCAGTAGGTGGATCACTGAGACCTGTATGTGAACCTCCTAGATTATCGTTGGTTGCTCGTGTATTCGAGTTTCTATTGGCAAAAAAAAAAAAAAAAAAAAGAGACGACAAATTTTAGAGCCAGTTTATTCAACTTAAATTTATGTTTATGGAAATAGTTGCCCTAAATGTGAAAGCTAATGTGTGCATTGGCAATTGGGCAAATTAAAAGGAAAAAAAATAATACTTGTCAGGAAGATTGTATTCGAACTCTACTTCCTTTTACTACTAGGGGATTTTGGCCGCGCTTCGCGGCGGTGTTTGGTTTGGTTGGTGTGTGGCCATTGTATTGCAAGCCCGTTGATAAGTTTAATAGCTTTCATGATTAACTCTGAGTTTATATTTTAGGTTCTCAAAATCCAAAACTTATGGTGGCAACTCTATACTACGACCCTTTATTGTACATGCAATTGTACAGAATTAGGAATTTTTTAAGCACAAAATAATGTCATTTATTATGGCATTGTATCCGATCTAAGAGTTCCGTATAAA